TGTCGAACTGCCGTTCTAGTACAGGAAACGCAAAGAATTTATGGCACCATATTTGGAAATATGGTGCCATAAAATTTATGGCACCATTTTATGATTTTTTCATTCTCGCAACTAATACTTCTTACTGCGAGCAAACCTTTTTATCTTAACTGTAACTGTTTTCTGCACGTTTGTTTACATTTTTTAAGCGTGGGTTCTGAGGTTATCCAGTTTCGGTAGTAGATGGAGATAAAAATGCCTTATACTGAAGTGATCCCACTGCTCGCTTTCAAATCATAAAGTTAATTAATAAACAAATGGTAATTTTGTACAAAATGTGCAATAAAAATAGCATTGCCCAACGTTAAACGTAATATTTATTATTATATAAGATCATAGTATTCTGATGTTGAAGGAAGTATGCATCTGCATGTGGCTTCATTGTGTAGCCAAAATTTTTTTTGTTTATGTCACCAATTTAAATCAATAGCTTGTTTTTTTTTGTTTAAGTTGAAAACAACCGTTCAATCTTCGTCAAATTCTACTCAAAATGTGAGTGAGAAGTGTTCCTATATTTTAATGAACAGCAAAATATGGTAATCTTTGTTGCAAAATATTAAATGTAATGAATGCTACAATTCCCAAGATGTAATTTCAAAGGAATGTTTGGCTATTGAACCAAGATCGAACTCATTTGCAAATTGTGTGAACAGGTGTTCTGTTCAACATTTTCTAGCCCACGTGCAAAAGAATCTAAATGTTTTGATACAAATAAAAAACGTGTAAATGCATTTCTAAAAATTGGGAAAGGTAACGCTGCTGAAAATATTTTCTATGGCTGTTGTTATTCATTCAATACGAAGAGGAAAAAAAAAAAAAAATCAAGATGACATCCTTCAAATTGCTCGAAACATAGTGCGAAAGAAGAATTAAATGTCGACCCTTTAAATAAATCAGTTATCGACATCAGTTTCATGCAATGGGACATGGCATAAACACGGTCATACGTCACTGAACGATATTCCAGTAGTTGTAAATGTTAGACGGGACTTGTAATCAGTTTTCAAATATGATCAGAATATTGTGCCGATGTTAGTACTAAAAGGTGTCTTTGCACAGTTAATGCTGAATTTAATGTTTGGTTTGAAAACCATACGTTTGAATGTGAAAATTAACACCCATGCAGCTAGCCCGTTCGCCAAGATTCGAAAGTTGAGTCGAACTACCAGTGTTCGGCAATTTTACAGCTCAGCCGCTAATCGCAAAATTTTTCGGGTACAATATTCCAACAGTAGATTTGTTATTGAAATTCCTTTTGGTAAACTTCAAAAGAATCACACTGTTAGTGTTAAGCGGTGTTGCAGTATTAAAGTATTGAAAAGTTGCAGCACACAAAATTATTAATGCAGTTTGATATATATATTTGTGTGTGCAAAAATGATTGCAATGAGTGAAAAATGTATTTGCATCTGAAAAGAAAAAAATTATAGGTTCCATGTACACCTGAAAAAATAATTCTATGTGAATCAGATAATAATTTTTTAAGTATGCCAGATGGGCGAGCTGCGACCACTCAATTCATTGGTGGTGTCTAAAGTAGTTTCTATGTGAAATTTGCAGAAATATTTTGTATTTAAAAGAAAAACAAAAAATAATTTTTAAATCTATGATCTACTTATGTTTGTAAGACAGAACTTTGTGAAAGACGTATTACACTCATTACAGGCCTATGCCTTGAGTATATTAAATATCATGCGAAACAAATTTCACCTGTTTATATTGCATTTAAAATAAATAAGAGAAAATCATTTTTAAAATCTACCGAGTAAGTATTCCGAGATGGGCGAGGCTGCACCCACTCAATTCATTGCTGGTGTCTAAAATAGTTTCCATGTGAAATTTGTGGAAATATTTTATATTTAAATGGAAAAAAGAAAAATCATTTTAAATCTATGATTATTTAAATATACATACAGTACAAAGTCTGTAATCCGGACTTGTCGGGACTTTGGCGATTCCGGATTTAGGGGTTTGTTGTGAATTACAGATCATCAATTTAAATCTGGTAAGATGGCATGCAGAAATTGTGAAATTAAAAATATGAAACCATAATTTATATGAAATAAAGAGAAATTATGATCTAAAGGGTATCAAAATTTAAAAAAAAATGCTTAACATTTATTTTTTTACTTTATTAAATATTTCTTTCAATATAAGTTGTTTAATTTGCTTTGTTTTATGTGCTATGTTCGAAACATAGTGCGAAAGAAGCATGAAGAATTAAATGTCGACCTTTTAAATAAATCAGTTATCGACATCACTGTTTCATACGATGGGACATGGCATAAACACGGTCATACATCACTGAACGATATTCCAGTAGTTGTAAATGTTAGACGGGACTTGTAATCAGTTTTGAAATATGATCAGAATATTGTGCCGATGTTAGTACTAAAAGGTGTCTTTGCGCAGTTAGTGCTGAATTTAATGTTTGGTTTGAAAACCATACATTTGAATGTGAAAATTAACACCCATGCAGCTAGCCCGTTCGCCAAGATTCGAAAGTTGAGTCGAAATACCAGTGTTCGGCAATTTTACAGCTCAGCCGCTAATCGCGAAATTTTTCGGGTACGATATTCCAACAGTAGATTTGTTATTGAAATTCCTTTTGGTAAACTTCAAAAGAATCACACTGTTAGTGTTAAGCGGTGTTGCAGTATTAAGAGTATTGAAAAGTTGCAGTACACAAAATTATTAATGCAATTTGATATATATATATTTGTGTGTGCAAAAATGATTGCAATGAGTGAAAAATGTATTTGCATCTGAAAAGAAAAAATTATAGGTTCCATGTACACCTGAAAAAATAATTCTATGTGAATCAGATAATAATTTTTTAAATCTACAGACTCAAGTATGGCAGATGGGCGAGCTGCGACCACTCAATTCATTGGTGGTGTCTAAAGTAGTTTCTATGTGAAATTTGCGGAAAATATTTGTATTTAAAAGAAAAACAAAAAATAATTTTTAAATCTATGATCTACTTATGTTTGTAAGACAGAACTTTGTGAAAGACGTATTACACTCATTACAGGCCTATGCCTTGAGTATATTAAATATCATGCGAAACAAATTTCACCTGTTTATATTGCATTTAAAATAAATAAGAGAAAATCATTTTTAAAATCTACCGAGTAAGTATTCCGAATGGGCGAGATGCACCCACTCAATTCATTGCTGGTGTTTAAAATAGTTTGTGTGAAATATTTTATATTTAAATGGAAAAAAGAATCATTTTAAATCTATGATTATTTAAAATATACATACAGTACAAAGTCTGTAATCCGGACTTGTCGGGACTTTGGCGATTCCGGATTTAGGGGTTTGTTGTGAATTACAGATCATCAATTTAAATCTGGTAAGATGGCATGCAGAAATTGTGAAATTAAAAATATGAAACCATAATTTATATGAAATAAAGAGAAATTATGATCTAAAGGGTATCAAAATTTAAAAAAAAAATGCTTAATATTTATTTTTTTACTTTATTAAATATTTCTTTCAATATAAGTTGTTTAATTTGCTTTGTTTTATGTGCTAATACTTTCTCTTTAATTCTATAAACATACATAATTTCTTGTTCAGTTACAAAGTTCCGCTGTTCAAGTTCTGTAATTGCTGTGCCGTTATGGACGCATGGATTAAAGACTTTGTACTGTACAATGAAAATTGTTTAACATGAAACTGAAAAGACTGAAATATTTTTTCGTGTTGAAGGATATTGAAGGAAAAAAACATATTTTCAACAAAATTAAGTTTATTAGAGTACATTTTATTTACATAAATATGCATATGGGCATGTAATTAATAAAAAAAAATCAATGAAACTAAAACATCCACAAGAACTACATTATTCATTTCCTTTTTGTCGTTACAATCCGCATCAATGACATTTTTTTAGCTTTGAGCAAACTCACTCCAAAATGTCTGCCATAATTGGGAATTGGGGGTGTACACACATTATCATCAACCACTGAAACGGATTCTTTGGATAACACAGTAGGACAGTCCATTAAAATATTTTACTCTACCTATGTCTATAAAAGAAACATCTTTGTGAAAGACATATTACACTCATTACTGGCCTGTCCCTTAAATATAATAAATATCATGTGAAACAATTTTTTTATATGAATGAAATCAGTTATCGGTAATAAGTTCAAAGAAAAAGACAAAATAATTTTTAAAAATCTACCGAGTAAGTACGCCTAAACGGCGAGCTAAAATCCGTATTCATCTAAAATGTTTTAAAAAATAATAATAAATAAATAAATTAAGTTATAAGTTTATACTGAACTCAAAATCTTGCACAAAAGACATTGGCGGGCTTTTGACGGCATGAACTGCCTGACACCTGGGGTATCTTCTGCAACCTCGCCAGAACGGCGAGCTACAATCCGTATTTATCTAAAATGTTAAAAAAAATAAATAAATAAAATAAATAAAATAAATTAGTTATAAGTTTATACTGAACTCAAAATCTTGCACAAAAGACATTGGCGGGCTTTTGACGGCATGAACTGCCTGACACATTTACATGTGAAATTTACATGTTCTATGTACACCTGAAAAAGAAGTATTTACAAGTTGGTGTGGATGTTTATGTGATTGAAATCAGTTCCATAAATACCTATGAACATCTGAAAAGAAACGTATAAAAACATTTTAATTTAAATCAAATCATTTCTATATACACCTGAAAAAAATATTTTTATGTGATTGAAATCAGTTCCATAAGTACCTAAAAAAGAAAATACATAAAACTTTTTAAAATTAATGACCGCAGTTGCATGTAGACCTGAAAAGGAAAATTTATAAAAAATATTTACAACATTGAAAAAATAATACAACTCCAAATTCCTACTTTGTAACGACAGACCTAAAAACCGACTAATGCATAATTCTCAAACTGTTTCAGCTTCATCTTGACTTGCTTCATTTATCCTAAGTCATCCAAAAATCTCAAATCTTTTTTATTTTTGCGTTGGCTTGATTCACTTCAATTTGTGTTGCAAAAATCTCAATGTTTCATCTTCACAGTGTTGAGGAATTTTTTTTTTTTTTTTTTTTTTACTGCAGAACCTCCCTGTAAACAATATTTCTTGTGAATACTTTAGAACATGCGGGTATCAAACGGCCTTGCTTCTTGGTGTCTTTCACTAAAACACGAACATTCCTCATAGACGAACATCTTGAAAAAGCTACGTAAAGCATTCCATGACTGAAAACTGGTTGCGGTAAATAAATTCCAACTTTCTTAAGCGTCTGTCCCTGTGACTTATTAATAGTCATACAAAATGCAAGCCTGATAGGAAACTGTCTTCGCTTGAGCTGAAAGGGGAGGTTTGAATCTGAAGGTGAAAGTTCAACACGTGGAATGAAAACTCTTGATCCAGCATTCTGTCCAGAGATGACTTCACAATCTAAAACGTTTTGCATAATTCTCTTCACAATGAGCCTTGTTCCGTTGCAGAGTCCAACCGATGGATTTAGATTTCGTAGAAGCATAACTATAACTCCAACTTTCAAATTCAGACAATGAGGTGGCATTCCAGAAGGCGTCAAGCTGTGGATGAAATCCAGCTGATACGTTTCTTGTTCTTCTTCGTCATCACAAATAACCGAGTCTGCACTGTAGTGTGTGAAAACTTGACCTGGAAACGTGGAAAGAATTTCTTCATTAAGTTTCAGAGCTTCATCGTTCTTCGGACATAAAATTGCTTTACTGGCCAAGTCTTGTAAGTCGAATTCATGACCGCAACCAAACATTTCTTCTACTATCGATCTGTTGACCACACACGAAGATGGAATTTCGATAATGTCTTCGTCCAAGCCACTGTCATTTTTAAGACGACCATCTCCCAACTGCAGAAGCCATTCTGAAAATTCTTGTTCTTCCGGACGCAATCGCATGTTCGCAGAAAGCGTGCACTGTTTGAAATGTGGCCACAAAAAGGAATTCCTGAGGCAGCTCTCGTTCGCAGATGTTCGGTTTCCATGTGCGACAACCGGTAATGTTTGTCTCCAGTCACCTCCTAAAACTAAGGTTTTACCGCCAAAAGGAACATCCAGTCCGGTCAAGTCTCTCAGCAATCTGTCGACAGCTTCCAAAGCGTAATGAGGCGTCATGGTGCATTCATCCCATATGAAAAGTTTCGCAGTCTTCAAGTACCTTCCTTCAGCGCTATCTTGTCTCACACGGCACGAAGAATTTTCCAGAAGCGGAACGGGCAACTTGAAAGTAGAGTGTACAGTTCTTCCACCGGTCAACAGCACAGCAGCAATACCTGTCCACGCAACGGGAACGGCAACGTGGCCCATTCCCCGAACAGCATGAAGAATCGTCCTAAAAAGGAAAGTTTTTCCAGCTCCGGCAAACGCATTAACACAAAATGTCTTCGGTGTGTTAGGATTCTCATCTCGTACAGCTTCCAAAACCAAGTCGTAAACAAATTTCTGTTCAGGATTCAACATCTGGTTCAACACTTGGGCTTGTTCGCTTTCATACTGGACATCGAACTGCGGGACGTCGAGAGAAACAACTTCATTCAATGTTGGCTGAGGGAGACCAAGAGAAGTGAGTGAAACGTTGTGCACTTGTAACTGGTCTTCTATGTTTCTCAGTGCGAGGCTAAAGCTGTCTTCTAAGGAGTAAAATCTTGTGAAATCTTCAGAAAGGGACTCTTTAAATTCATTCCACAAAGTGATCGGTTCCGTAGGGTTGCAGAAAACACAGATGAAGCAAAAGAGCTGTCTTAGCTGAAGATGGCATTTGAAAAGCTGATGCTTCAGCCAGAGAATTTTTCCATTCTTCGTCGTCTTGCAGCAGATGCCTTGCACGGCAGGCTTCCTTAAATGTTGAATACTCCACACCTTCATAAGTTCTTAAGTCGGCAAAACTCTTCGCTCCTTTAACGTGACACAGCAGCAACCTCAGATGGAAACGCTCAACATCTTTCGGGCTAACAGAATACATTCTTGAAATGATGTAATCTCCAAGTCTAACTCGTGTCTGCCAGGCGTGATTCCTCCAGGTGAAATGTTTAGGAATTTCAGCATACAGGTAACGATTCGCTTCGGGAACTGTCCTGTTCAGTTCAAACCATCCGGTGAGCATGGTGTTTTTCTCGGCAGCTCTCTGCAGAGCATTTCTTTCTTCTGATTCAGCAAAATAGACGGGCTGCAGGTTTTCCAAATGAACCGGTAGTCGTATGATGGAGTGCGACTTTGAATGCATTCTCTTTTCAAACAGCCTCCACACTGCTTCAGGGGCAGACACGTATCTTGCATTTAAGAAGCATTTTATCTCGTCCCACATTAAAGTTCTATCTCCAGATTCTTCCAGAACAACTTTAGCTGCATCATGACCTTTATACACATATTTGAACAAATACTTGACCGATTTTATGGAGCTGCATACTTCAACGTTTATGTGGGCGTTGTACTTTTTTGTTAAATACGGATTGTAAGGTACAACCCATCTGTTATCGATGGCATGACCCTTGATCACGATAAAGTTTCCATCATCCCTTCTTCTGTAAAGTGGGTAGCCATTCACGTTCTCTTTAGTTTCTGCCTGAAACGGTTTCGGAAATCCTTTAGAACATACACCATCGCTCATGCAGGGAGAGTTTCGATTCAGTTCACCGCAGGGTCCGTGAATCATCGATGACTTGACAATGTCGTGTAGCATCTGGAAGTTCAGCACACACCAGCGAGTCGATGCACTCTGCATCTCTTATTTTATCTTCTTCCGCTAAAAACAACAAAAGGTGCATATGAGGCAATCCTCTCTTCTGAAATTCGATGACGTGTATATCTGCAATTGTCGCACCCAAGATGTGATTCTTTGTCAAATCATGCAGCAAAGCTGTTTTCTTCAGGTCAAATACCCTCGACACGATGTCCGGGCGATCGTGAGCCTTCTGTCCTGGGAATAAGTTTTCTGTTATTTCCGGCCATTTAGGGTTGCACGTGAAAGTCAAAAACAGATCCGGTTTACCAAAGTCGCGCACAATGGCCATCGAGTCCTGATAGTTTTGCTGCATGCAGCGAGGGCTTCCTATAAACGTTGACGGAAGTATAACCGGTATTCCAGGGCGGACGCCCGTCTCTTGACCAACTCTGTAAATGTGATCGGCAAGACCCATGTAAGTTTCCACTCTCAGATTCGTCTGATGGCTCCGGAGGTACGCAATCCTGTTGCCTTCGACTTTTACGTATGCATCCACGAGATACTGCTGAAACAATTTCCGGCCATACAAAATCGGGTTGTAGCAATCTCGTCGTACGGACACCCTGTGACTGTAAAACTGCAGCTCTGTGTATTGCTGTCCGACTCTGAATCCTTGGTCGCCGTGAGGAAAGAAAAGCACGTACGTCATCGGTTCCAAGTTGGGATTTAAGGTACTGATGTTGATGAGACCGCCACCTCTTGGATGGATCACGATGTCTCGGTTCGATGGAGGAGCGCCGTCCGTACTCTTGAAGACGACTGCAACTTCATTTTCTTTCGGAGCATTGTAACGTCCTCTGTGTTCGCCCGTACCTACACTTTCACCCTTGATGTACATGCGGATATCCGCAGCAGTTTCGGCGCCTTGCTCTCGTAGAGTTTCTTCTTCGAATTCCTTCAGCATCTTGTAGGCTTCGGCATATGGATTAACGTTCCTCAAAACTGCGTCCAACTGTCTCAGCAGTTCGGCATTCAGGGCAACATTTCCAAATATGTTCATTCTCTGCCTGAGCGCTTGATCCGAATCTAAAATGTACAGCTGAGCATACTGTTCTTGACCGGCATGAGGCGGATGAAGGTGGCTCGTTCGATGATATATGGCACCATGAATCCTGAAGCAATAGGGACCCGAACCCGTAGGCATTTCTATATTGGCACCCATTGAAGCAAAACTGAGCAGGCAGTTGTAAGTACGTATGTTGGCATAAAACTCTTCAGAAAATGGGTGGTTCCCATTCATTAAATTGCGCCATTCTTCTGGATATCTTCTTTCAGCTTCGACAATTTTCCCATTGTTACAGCAGTGCATGTATCTTCCTCTTGCGTTCCTTTCTCCCGTAAAGAACAATCCGTTGCAGAGATCGCAGGAACCTTCCATTGAACCGACACTGTGTTGTTCAGCGTAAACTTCGAGTCCACATCTCCCTGCATTGTGAAGAGTGCTACGTGAACGTTGTGCTGCATTCATGCGTAGCCTGTCTTCTCGTACTGACAACGTTTCTTCCGATCGGACTTGTCTGTGACGTGCAGCGTCTCGCATTCTTCGTATAGTAGCATCCTGTTCCGATTCTTGAGTGCGTAAAATTGATTCTCGATGCGCTATCCTGTCGAGTCTGCTACGGTTTTCTTCTTCGGTTTCTCGAGCACGTAGGTTTGCTTGGCGTACTGCCTGCATGAGTCTTCTAGCGGTTTCTTCTTCATTTTTGTAGCTCGCCGAACCTTTGTGCTTC